GGACCATCCGCGCGCGTCCCGAAACACCCAATTCTTCATTTTCACCCAACCAGTACAGCGCTTCGTGGCCCCATAGGGAGCTCCACCGGATGCCCCACTGCCACCGTCCGCATGCGTCCCGAAAATCCAATGCGGCATATTCACCCACCCAATACAGCGCTTTGTGGCCCCATAGGGGAGCTCCACCGACGGCCCCGGTGCTATCGCCCGCATGCGTGCCCTACACCCAGTACAGCGCTTCGTGGCCCGGTAAGGAGCTCCACCGACGGCTACCGCCCGCATGCGCCCCCCCCCCCCCCCCCCCGCACAGCGCTTTGTGGCCCCATGAGGAGCTCCACCGACGACCCAAGTGCTACCGCCTGCCTGCGTTCCCCCCCACCCAGCGCAGCGCTTCGTGGCCCCATAGGGAGCTTCACCGAAGAAGATACTCACAATCGCGTTACCCACAACTGCATATGGTCGGGTCATTCGCCCGGATTATCTTATTATTTTTTTCCCCACATGCTTAGTGGGGGTATGGTTTTCTTCCATGCCTCGTCGCACCCGTGCTCACTCACCTCACCTCCCTCTTCCCTTTCTCACACAGCGCAGCACAGCACAGCACACCAAAGCACAGCACTGCTCAGCATAGCTGAGCACAGCTCAGCTCAGCTCAGCACAGCACGGCACAGCTCAGCTCAGCACAGCAGGGCATAGCAGGCGTGGCATTTTCTGGGGTGCGCACGGGGTGGTCCCTCAGCGCGGCCGCTATGCACGACGGTCGTCCAGGGCATAGCAGGCGTGGCATTTTCTCGACACCATAGGGGGTGCGCAGGGGGTGGTCCCTCAGCGCGGCCGCTATACACGACGGTCGTCCAGGGCATGCGGGTGCGCAGGGGGTGGTCCCTCAGCGCGGCCGCTATGCACGACGGGTCCAGGGCATAGCAGGCGTGGCATTTTCTCGACACCATAGGGGGTGCGCAGGGGGTGGCCTCCCTCGACCGGCATAGGGCGTATTCGACACAGTGTCCCTCAGCGCGGGCCGCCATGCATCAGACGGTCGCCAGGGCATAGCAGGCGTGGCACTTTCTCGACACCATAGGGGTGCGCAGGGGGTGGTCCCTCAGCGCGGCCGCTATACACTACGGTTCCGTCAAGGCATAGCGGCGAGGCACACTCTTCTCGACACCATAGGGGGTGCGCAGGGGGTGGTCCCTCAGCGCGGCCGCTATGCACGACGGTCGTCCAGGGCATAGCAGGCGTGGCATTTTCTCGACACCATAGGGGGTGCGCAGGGGGTGGTCCCTCAGCGCGGCCGCTATCACGACGGTCGTCCAGGGCATAGCAGGCGTGGCATTTTCTCGACACCACAAGGGGGTGCGCAGGGGGTGGTCCCTCAGGCGGCCGCTATGCACGACGGTCGTCCAGGGCATAGCAGGCGTTGTTGCCTCGATTCTCGCCATAACGGGGGTGCGCAGGGGGTGGTCCCCTCAGCGGCGGCCGCTATGCACGACGGTCGTCCAGGGCAATAGCAGGCGTGGCACTTCCTCGACACCATAAGGGGTGCGCAGGGGGTGGTCCCTCAGCGCGGCCGCTATCGACGGTCGTCCAAGGCACAGCCGTGGCATTTTCTCGACACCTAGGGGGGGGGCAAGGGGTGGTCCCTCCCGCGGCCGCTATGCACGACGGTCGTCCAGGGCATAGCAGGCGTCGCATTCTCTTGACACCATAAGGGGGTGCGCAGGGGTGGTCCCTCAGCGCGGCCGCTGTGCACGACGGTCGTCCAGGGCATAGCAGGCGTGGCATTTCTCGACACCATAGGGGGTGCGCAGGGGTGGTCCCTCAGCGCGGCCGCTATACACGACGGTCGTCCAGGGCATAGCAGGCGTAGCATTTTCTCGACACCATATAGCAGGATGGCATACTTTCTCGAGGGGGTCGCGGGTGGTCCCTCAGCGCGGCGGGGGTGGTCCCTCCGCGGCCGCTGCACGACGGTCGTCCAGGGCATAGCAGGCGTGGCACCTGCTCGACACCACAGGGGGTGCGCAGGGGGTGGTCCCTCACCGCGGCCGCTATGCACGACGGTCGCCCAGGGCATAGCAGGCGTGGCACTTTCTCGACACCATTAGGGGGTGCGCAAGGGGTGGCCCCCCAGCGCGGCCGCCATGCACGACTGTCGTCCAGGGCATAGCAGGCGTGACATTTTCTCGGCACCATAGGGGGTGCGCAGGGGGTGGTCCCTCAGCGCGGCCGCTATGCACGACGGTCGTCCAGGGCATAGCAGGCGTGGCACATTCTCGACGCCATAGGGGGTGCGCAGGGGGTGGTCCCTCACCGCGGCCGCTATGCACGACGGTCGTCCGGGGCATAGCAGGCGTGGCATTTTCTCGATGCCATAGGGGGTGCGCAGGGGGTGGTCCCTCAGCGCGGCCGCTACGCACGACGGTAGCATAGCAGGCGTGGCACCTTCTCGACACCATAGGGGGTGCGCAGGGGGTGGTCCCTCACCGCGGCCACTATGCACGACGGCCGCCCAGGGCATAGCAAGCGTGGCGCTTTCTCGACGCCAGACGGGGTGAGCAGGGGGTGGTCCCTCACCGCGGCCGCTGGCTGGTTCGAATCTGTCGTCGATGGAGGATAGAAGGCTAGGAAGAGGGAGGAGGTTCAAGCAATATGGCGTTGGATGACACATACGGGAACATTCGCGACGAGGGCTCAGAATGCAGAACTGCGTATAAATTATAAACCTACGCAAACACATAATATTCAAATTATGTTTGTGGGGTTCCTCTGTAGCGTAATTTGTGTTGGCGCTCTGTTTTGAAATCCTCACACAATCAAGCGGTTTTGAAAAACATCAGCATGCCCGCGCGACCACGCGCGTGTTCACTTCTTCTTCTGTTGCAAAGGATTCTTGGATACTGGTGGTTTTGATAAACGAGCGCGAACGCATATCATTTGTTGCAGAGGATGGCGGGTGGGGGGGGAGGGGCGGCACTGGCCCCCCTGGGATATCCTGGGATGGCGCGAGCTCGTACTTAGGATGGACGATGGGGCAGAGTCATATGCAAATTGCAACCCGCGAAGGGGTACATATAAGTTCGGGAGGGGGGAAGTCTGTTCTCGTTTTTTCCAAAACAAAAAGACAATGACAATCTATGTGGTGAAAGCCATGTATGTTCGCAATGAGTTGTCGACTCCACTTCTCTTGCTATTACCCCACCCACTCACCCGCAACTTGGTTTGCATAAGCCCGTGCGGCGGCCATTGCGATGAGTGCTTGGTGTTTGCTGGTGCATCTCTGCGGCCGCGCTCGCCCGCGCATGTTCGCGCGCGCAGCGGCCAGCCAGTTTGGCGCGGCCGACGCGGCCGCGGTGGCGCTGACCGCTGGGCTGCAAATCGGCGACCTGGGCGGGCGCGGCGGTATCATGGCGATGTGGCGCAATCTATGCGGTAGTGCAATATGTGGTGCAGTTGATTTTAGCAAACGAGCTGACACGCCCCACGTTATTGCAAACATCCCACCCACCCTCCCGCAATTGGGTTTGCAAAACCCATGCGGTGGCAAGTGCGGTGCATGCTTGGCTGGTGCCTTTCTGCGGCCGCGCCAACCCTAGCACGCGCGCGCAACGGCCAGCTTGTTTGGCGCCACCAACGCTGCCGCAGTGGCGCTGACCGCTGGGCGCATCCCAGCGGGCACTTCATTGCGAATCGGCGCAATGGGCGGGCGCGGTATCATGGCAGCGCCGACGACGGTAGACACGATCATGATAGTAGCGATGATGGTGGCGATGTTCGCACCGACGAAGGCGCGGCCAGTGCGGGCGCCGATGCGGATCACGCCGACGACGATGACGGCGTCCTCGCGTCGGTGATGACGGTTATGGAAAGAGTTCGAAATGCGCGCGAGACCGACGCGCGAGAGTGGCCCGCGTTTTTTTTTTTTTATTTGACACGGATCGTGCCCCCCCAGCACGCGCGCACGGGCGTGCTAATGATGTCGGCATGCGGCGCCAGAAGCCCGTCTGGCAGAATTATGTGTAACTGTTGAACAACCCATGGTTTCTTGAGAATTCGCAAGAGCGCGGGCACATTTCTGTTTTGAAAACTGAATCTGATGTTGCGAAACCATGTGCTCTTGAATGTGTTTTGGACTTTCGGTTTTGAAGTCGCTACGAGAACGAAACGGATCTGGGCATGCGCGCGCGACGACGCGCGCGTGTGCACTTCGTCCCGTTTGTTGCTAAGGATTCTCGCGACGGCACGAGCGCAGGGGCATTCGAACGATTTCGACATGCGCGCTTGCGAAACCCGTTTGGTCGCATGTTCTGAAAATGTTGGAAAACCTATGTTTTCCACATATAAAAAATCGCAAGAACGCGCGCGCACGCTGAAAAAAACGTGTTGCGAAACCATATGTGTTTATATGTTTGTTGGACACTCGATTTTGAAAGCCTTCCGAAACCGAAGGGATTTGAAGGATTTCGGCATGCGCGCGCGACGACGCGCGCGTGCGCACTTCGTCTCATCTTGTGCAAGATATTCATGAAAAAAATGATTTGTCTAAACGAGTGTGCGCGCATAGTATTTTTTGCAAAAGGATGGCGGGGGGGGTCGAGCCCGGCTGGGCTGGGATGGTACGAATTCATAGTATATTTAGGATGTGGACGATGTGGCAGCACCATATGTAAATTGCAACACGGATCTTGTTTAGAAAAGGAATCTGTGCTTTGCAGCACATGTGGTGCCAATCTGTATGGTGCAATCTGAGTCGCCACGAGCGGAGACGGCGGCGACGGGGCGGCGACGGCGACAACGCAGCCGCCAGACCGACGGACAGGCCCGGACGACTGGCGGCGACGAGACGGCGATGGGGCAGCGACGGTGGCCACATAGCCGCCAGACGGGCCGTCAGGCCCAGTTCACGACAACAGAGATAAGAACTCCCGAGTGCAAGCACTGTTTGGGGAGCCTCCCGTATCAAAGTCTCGCCGTTGTTCACGTACGACCATCCTCCTGTGCCACCTTCCGCTTGGCAAACACTTTTCCGCCCACAGCTCACAAGCGTGAACGGGTCGAAACCGCTGCCGCAGACGGAGCAGCCGGCGGAACGCCCACTGCAGCCAGCGAAGTCGCCAAAGACTGCAGGACCTCGCAATGGTACGGAGCATTGGCTGGCATTGCTGCTCACTGCGCAAAGGCAGGGGAGAGAGAGAGGGCTACAATGTCGGTGAGTGGACGGACTTCCCCGCCCCATCCACAATAGTTGAGGCAGCACTCCATCCCGCACCAGCCACATGAAGACGCATTGTTCGCGTTCGTCGCCGCTGTGCTCGATTCAAACCAACAAGCTGCACGATCCTGGAATGGCAGATGCTCATTGTTCATTGGCCATCCATCTACCCATCCACCCTCTGTCTTCTCTCCCTCCCTCCTTCTGCCTTCCCCCCCTCTCCTCGTTCACACACGTGCCTCCCACATCCCTCCCTTTGCATCCTTCCGCCTCCCCCTCCTCCTCCATCCTCCTCCTCCTCCTCCTCCTCCTCCTCCTCCTCCTCCTCCTCCACCACCACCAACAACTCCTCTTTCTCCTGCTTTCTCCCCTCGATCCCCCCTCCACGCACCTGCTGAATTCGATATCTGGGAAGCCAAAAGGTACTGAGACCGGTACTCCCGGGACCTCTCCTGGGATGATTTCCGATCAGAACTTCGGGGCGAATCCAACGGTGACGACGAGGGCCTCCCGGGAGGTCCGAAATGGCGAACACTAGACAAGGGCAGCGGTATCGGTACCATCTTTCTCCTCTGAGCTCAATCCTATATCATCCTCCTCCTCCTCCTCCTTCTCCTTCTCCTTCTCCTCCCACCTCCTCCTCCTCCCGCCTCCTCCTCCTCCTCCTCCTCCGCCTCCTCCTCCTCCTCCTCCCTCGGCCGACTCAAGACGGCGGGGAGCGGGGAGAAGGGGGGGGGAGGGCGCGCGGCTGGGGCGCCAAGCCTGTCGCAAGGCAGCCTCGGTGTGCTCGCCCGCCGTGGCTGGAGGCGCGCGCGCCAGCATCCCTGCGGGCGCCACGGCCGGGCAGGTCAACTCATGGGGCCTCCCGTAGGGGCCTCGGAGAAAACTAGCGAACACTCATGCCACTTTCATCTGTAAACGCCTCCCCCTCCCCCCAATGTTCAAAGTTGGAGGTGGGTCTGATGAGTTGCACCTCGACCGCAGTCTCCCCCGCGCGTGCCAACTTTGAGTTTGGGGGCAGGGGGGGCGTTCACTGACGTACGGTTGAAGGAACAAAAATGTGCATCAGCAGCGCTCCGACGACAAAGAACCCCCTGACCTTCATATTGGCATGCATTGCGATCGAGATCTTGGGTTCAATTTTTCTCCGGCCGCTTCTCTCCGGGACCAACTGCTCAATATTAAGGCCGGGGGGGTGAGGGGGGGTGTATTCCAATTGGTCCCCCAACTCTTGATGCAACATTTTTTCCTTCAACGTTGCCATCTTGCCGGCTCTTGCGACTCGACGCTGATCGACGTCAAATCGGCGCTGTCTCATCGACTGAAGCACTCTCAAGACAGAGTTTTGCGAGGGTATACGAAGCTACGGAGAGCCTCCCACACCACCTTGCCGGCTCTTGCGACCCGGCGCTGACCGACGTGGAATCGGCGCCACCTCATCGACCAGTGCTCGCTCTCAAGACAAAGTTTTGCGAGGGTAGTTCTACGAGGCTCCCACGGCCTGCAATGCCGAAGGACGGGGGGGGCACGGGGTGCACCGCGGGAGGTGCCGAGGGGGGGAAGCGCGCGAGCCCCGGCGAAGCGAGACCCTGGCGAAGCGAGCCCCGGCGAAGCGAGACTCCGGCGAAGCGAGACTCCGGCGAAGCGAGCCTCCGGCGAAGCGAGTCTCCTGCGAAGCGGGTCCGTGCCGAGGAGAGGTGGAGAAGGATGGGTCGGGAGAGGAAGGAGGGGGGGGGGCGCACGGATGGCGCAGGAGGACGGAGGGAGGCACAGATCAAGGGAGGCAAGCAGAGGACGACCAGGAAGAGGAGGAGGAGGAGGACAAGGAGGAGGAGGAGGAGTAGGAGGAGGAGGAGGAGGAGGAGGAGGAGGAGGAGGAGGGCGCACAGATGGCGCAGGAGGACGGAGGGAGGCACAGAGTAAGGGAGGTAAGCAGAGCAGGACGACAAGGAAATGTGGAGGAGGAGGAGGAAGAGGAGGAGGAGAAGACCGCCTCCGCTGGACTGGGTCCTTCCAGAATGCATGGAGCTTGATCTTCCGCCGTCAGGCCATCCGACCACAACCAGCCAACAAGATCACGAGAAGCGGCAGAAGCATGAGCAGGAGCTCGAGGTACGTTCGGGCTTGTGTACCATATGTGCCAGTGCAGTTGTCGCATTGGTCAATCTAGCAATGATGATGGTCCCGCTGATGGTTGTTTACCTTGCCAAATCTGCTGCCAAAAAATACTTCAGGTTGGCCGGTGTGCCTTGACATGCACACGATATAATATCATCTTGGCAGACGGCGCGGCATTCTGGCTGGACTCGAACATTGCGTTGTGCTCCGAATTGCGTTCGCTTCTGGCGTTGGTAGGACCTTGCCCCCCCACCCCCACACACACACACACACATCCGTTACGGGGGGGGGAGGGATAACGGTAAGAGGGGGGCGCGGGCATGGCAAGCGGTGCCCATGCAAGCCCAGGATGTGCGCGCACGGGCGGAAAACCACGCATGTGTGCGGCACTGCCGCAAGGAAGGCCTGTTCAACGGAGCATGCCGACCATACATTGGGCACAAACTCTTGCCAATGCGGGCCCAGGCTCGTCACGTGCGACGGAGATGCGACTGCGCGCCCCTGTATCCCTTCTGTCCAGCAAGTTGGAAAGGACTTCATCGCGCAACGAATCACCCGTGAAAAGGCGAGTTCGATAGGAATGCCTGGTCGGTCTCCCTGCTTGCCTGCGGCCACAAGAGAGCCAAGCTCTCGCTCAAACGATCCAAGCCTTCGTTCCTGGCGGCGCTCCTGGCTGCCGTGGGCTGGCGGCTGCAAGTTCGACGGCCTCGCTACAAGTGCGGATCACTGGCGGTATGTAGCCAATCAATGTGTTTGGGGCACGAGCGAAACACGAGAAGGTTCCTAAGTGCATGGGCAGGCCGCGGAGTTTGAGCAGGAGTCTATAGTGGCAGGGCGACGGGATTAAGCTATTAAGGCGGCTTGCACATACTCTTCGTTGAACTCGCTTCGACAGCTAGTGGAAGCCCCAGGGTCAAAACGCCAAGCCAGCGATCCTGCAACCTGTTCAGGAAACGCCCTGCCTCGAAAATAAGGGGAAGCATGTTGACCATCGGCAAGGAAGACAGCTCATGCCAGCAAGTTCAAACCTCGCACATAAGAATCCAATCGGAACAACTCAAATGTTTGGGCGTACCGACTGGTATACAACTTACTGAACCTCCAGAACCCGTGGTCCTGTGCCCTTGGCAACACGGCCAGATACACGCTCGTGAGACTCGGGGGTTGACCCCGACACCCCGAGCACAACTCCTTCTCGTTTGGGTGCTGATTAGTTTGCTGGACAACCGAGGTATAGGAGCTGTCTGCCGCCTTGATCTCAACTCAATCGGAGAAGTTTGAACAAGGAAAATGCAGTGACCCACGCTTTTCGGCACTGCGCCCCGTGAGTGCGCAGCGGGGGAGTTTAGCCGCAGTCTCCTGCCCCCTCTGGGGGAAGGGGCCCGGAGGGAACATGATCTCAGGCAGCTGGATCCACATGTTGCAGCGGGCAAACTTGTTCAGCTCTTGTGGCTGCCGCAAGCGCCTTCGCACCCACGGCGGCCAGACAACCACTACACTGCAAGGACAATCCTCCTCCTTCTCCTCCTCCTCCTCGGTCCCCTCCTCCTCCCCCTTCTCCTCCTCCGCCTTCTTCTCCTCCTCGTCCTCCTCCATCCGTTTTCCATCCACAGAACTCCTCCCTGCCGCGCCCCTATAGACGTGTCTGAATGGCGAGGCGGGCGTTTTGTCGAAGCCTGCCTCGTCACGTATTGTCCTGAAGCGTGAACTCTGCAATGGTTTCACGGATGGATAGCCAGTGGTTTTCAACAAGTGGCGATCGCCTTAGCGCCGCGCGCAACAGTCTTAAACGTTTGCATCACCCTCGCGGCCGGAGAGCGAATCATTTCAACATGTGGCCCTCGCCTAAACGCAGCGCGCACTTGTTTTCAAGACTTGCAGCAGCTTCGAGGATGAAGGTCCGGTTCCTTTTTCAGAATGTGTTTCTCGCCGTAGCGCCGCGCACACTTGCCTTACAAACAGTTGCAAACGGTTGAAGGATTCGTATTGTCGAAGTCCCAGGAACGGTGTTCTGGCACGATATTTGGGACTGTCAAGACGCAACCGTCGCGTTGCCCCGCGCTGTTGCAGTCCCAGGATGGGCGTGCTGGCAGGATAGAGGATTCTGAGACGGTTGTCTTCTACAAGGGCGGTACTATAGTGTCGACCGTAACATGTCATCCGCCGAGACCCCCCGCCCCCCGTAGAATCTTAGGGAAAGGTTTCTGGTTCGGCTGCGGTTCCGAGCCCAAGGGCTCGCACCCTGGAAGAAACATGGGATGGGAAATCGTTCCGTTCTGGCCCGACTTCCGCCCTATTCGCTCCGTGTGATCGTCACAGTCGGCTTCTTCATCATCTGCGTCATCGTCGTCATGCCCGTAATGCTGTGTTGATTCAGTGTGTTCGTTTACACGTTGAGGCCGAGTGACCCTGGACACCCTTATCCAACGCAGTCGCTCTTGCTTCGGCTGCAGCTTCCCCAGAGATTTCACGAGGGCTTCCAAATTGCAGATCGGGTCACGTTTGCGTCTTGAACCGGTCATCGGCGGCATGCGGCGCCTTTTGATTATTGTCAGCCGACGGTCAAAAACCTTAGCTCCTGGCAAGTAATTGGCCCCTTCCCTCAATAAGAATGACAACTTTCAGGGGTCTGCACAACAAAACTTGAAGGGAGGGTTGATTGCAACATCGTTGATGCGTCTTGGGTTTACACTGGTCCTCCTCCTCCTCCTCCTTTTCCTCCTTCTCCCCCCCGTCCTCTCCCCCGCCTCCTCCATCCATCCATCCTGGGTTGGCATCCCCACCCCCCTCCCCCTGCGCTGATTCCCACCCCCAGAACCCCTCTACCCCCGTGGGAAGAACGGGTGGAACGGAAGGGGGAATGATGGGGGAGAGAAGGGGGGGAGAGAAGGGGGAAAGAGCAGGGGAGGAGGGCGGATGAGGAGATGGAGAGACGGAGGGAGGGGGGATATGAGGGACGGGAGGAGAGGCAGGAGGGAACGAGGGAGGGGAGAGATGGAGAGCGAGAGGGGGGGAAAGGGAAGGAGGAGGGGGGAGGGGGCAGGGGAGGGGAGGGAGGAGGGGGGCACCCCCGCAAGGCGGGCGCCTTGGGCCAGCCGCAGCTGCTCCAAGAGCTGGTCCCGCAGATCCGCGCCCTCGGGCGCGGACAGCGAGGGCGCGTCCTGTGGGGGCGGGTCGTCGGCGTGATCGTGGTCGCGGCCGTGGTCATCGTGGTGGTCGTGGTCGTGGTCGTGGTCATCGTGGTGGTCGTCGTCATCGTTGTCGTCGTCGTCACCGTGGTCGTGGTCGTGGTCGTGGTCGTGGTCGTCGTCGTCTCGTCGTCGTCGTCGTGGTGGTGGTGTTCGTCGTCGTCGTCGTCGTCGTGGTCGTGGTCGTTGTCGTGGTCGTGGTCGTGGTCGTGGTCGTCGTGGTCGTGGTCATCGTGGTGGTGGTGGTCGTCGTCGTCGTCGTGGTCGAGGTCGTGGTCGTGGCCGTGGTCGTGGTCGTCGTCGTCGTGGTCGTGGTCGTGGTCGTGGTCGTGGTCGTGGTCGTGGTCGTGGTCGTGGTCGTGGTCGTGGTCGTGGTCGTCGTGGTCGTCGTGGTCGTCGTCGTCGTCGAACTCCGCCTTCCGAAGGACAGGTGCTCCCTGGCCCCGCCATCGGTGCCCACTGCTTCTCCTCAGCCCCGGTGAGCTCCTCGACGCTGCGTTGCCGGACCCCCCGGACGGCATGGGCAGGCAGGGGGATCCTCCTTGCTCCTGCCTCCTCGCGTGCCCTGCAACACGTGTGCCACGGCTCGAGCTAAGCAACGTCGCTCGTTTTCGGTTTCGTTGTGTTCCCGTTCTCCCTCGCTCTGTGTTCGCTCTGCCTCTGCTGCAAAGCGGCACCAAGAAACGAAAAAACGGCCCGCGGCGTCGCCAACAAAACACAGCTCTTCGCTCGATCCCCGACGTGCGCCCCGAGCCCTCGACTCCCGCCCCCTCCGCCTGCAGAGGCTTCCTGGATGGGGTCGGAGCAGATGGGGTCGGAGGATCGCGCCGCATCGGCGATACATCGGCGCCGCATCGGCGATGCATCGGCGAGGCACCAGCGATGCGTCGGCGACCTCGGCGATGCATCGGCGACGTGCCCGTGAAGAGCATCGGGCTCCGTGCCGAGCCGCATCGGCGATGCGTCGGCGATGTGGCGCGATCCTCCGACCCCATCTGCTCCGACCCCACCTAGGAGGCCTAGAGTCTGTGAGCGCGCCCCCGGCGCCAGCTTCCGGGCCCCAGCCCCAGGGCATGGCGCGACGAGCGGCTCGGGCGGGCAGGCCCCCATTGGGCGGGGGAGGCGGGCAGGCGGGCCCCAGCGGGCGGGCCCCAGCGGGCGGGCCCCAGCGGGCGGACCCCGCGTGGGCGAGACACGAGGAGCGGGCGGGTG